ATGACATATTGCATTAGGCAAATCTGCTGCACAAGACCTTGTTAAAGTGTTGAAGAGCAAAGATGTCAGCTTGAGGACTAAGTTGCGCCTGACCTCATAGTCATGTGAAAGTTGGACCGTGACTAAGGAAGACCATAGAAGAGTTAATGCATTTGAGTTGTGGTGTTGGAGGAGAATATGGAAAGCACCAAGGCCTACCAGAAGAACAAACAGATCTGTGTTGGAAAAAGTACAGCCAGATGCTCCTTGGAAGCCAGGATGTCCAGATTTTGTCTCTGATACTTTGAATATATTATCAGGAGGGAGCAGTCCCAGGAGAAGGACATCATGCTTGGTGAAATGGAGCATCAGAGAAAAAGAGGAAACCCCCAAGGAGATAGATTGGCCCAGTGGGAGCAGCAATGGGCTGAAGCGTAACAATGATTGTGAGGCCAGTGAAAGACTGAGCAGTTTTTCTTCTACTCTCCGTAGGGTCATGATGAGTTGGTGCCAACTCGATGGCACCTAACAGCAACAACAATGACAGCTGTTCCACCAGGGCTCTCATTGGCCAATTTTTCCTCATTTTTGGGGCCTTTTCCTTGTCTTTCAGTTTTGTTTTCCTCAAACATCTACTAGGAGTTTGTTGAATTCTCCTTCTTATGGCCTTGGTGTCTCTTCATTGTTGACATGTTTTCAACCACCCTAACTCTCTGTGAGATTTTGTGGGTTATTTCCTCAGATCTCTTTAAAACTCAGTTCTTAATTGGCTGGAATGATACTAGTAAGCCCAAAGCAATGATTTTAATGGTGTCTGTGACCACTTGTTTTTTCTGTGAAGATTACCGATGACGGTGAGGTTTTTAAGTCCCTGGGTGGCACGGATCATTTGCACACTGCCACTGACCATGGGAGAGAGGCCTGGAGTCTGGCTGCTGTAAGGTGGAGCCATGATAGGACTGACAGGTCATGTGCTCAACATGACAGGAACGGCTTTGGGTTCTGGGATTATTTTGTGGCTGTAAGCAGCCATGAGAGAGCTCACAGATAGGAACACCCATCTTTTCTTTCTCCCTTCATCAGCAATGCAGTAAGAAGGCGTCCACCATCTTCCTGTGGCTCCTGAAGTCATCGGGCATCATCGCCAACAGGCCCTGGCCTCGCATCTGCCTCACGATCGTCACCACAGCCATCGTCCTGGTCATGGCCGTCTTCAACATGGTGAGTACCCTCTGTGGTCTGCCTGAGGAGTGGGGAAGGGGTAGCATCAGTTTCACAAACACTCGGTTGTGGACTTGGAGGAATATCACTTCTGCAAAGGTGGCAGGGTGGACAGAGTGAGCCGTGTTCCTTCACACACCTTCCCCACTCAGGACCATTGATGTTTTATGATCATCTACCCAGTGCTCCCCCATCTTTCAAGAAAGTGAGGCGGCACTCCCTCATCTCTGCCAAGAAATTTGGAAGACAACTATCTGGCCAACTGATTGGAAGAGATCCATATTTATGCCCATTGCAAAGAGAGGTGACCCAATGGACTGTGGAAATCATTGGACAATCTCTTTGATAGCCCATGCGAGTAAAATTTTACTAAAGGTAATACAGAAATGGCTGCAAGCATACACTGACAGAGAACTTCCAGAGGTTCAACCCTGTTTCAGAAGAGGATGTGGAACAAGGGATATCATTGCTGATATCAGATGGATCTTGGCTAAAAGCAGAGAATATCAGAAAGATGTTTACCTGTGCTTTATTGACTACGCAAAGGCTTTCAATCGTGTGAATCATGTGAACCTATGGATAACTTTGTGACGTATTCCAAAACACTTAATTGTGCTCATGAGGAATCTGTACATGGACCAAGAGGCAGTGGTTCAAACAGAACATTGGGACCACTGAAAGGTTTAAAATTAAGAAAGGTGTGCAACAGAGGTGTATTCGTTCACCATACTTATTCAACCTGTATACTGAGCAAATCATCCGAGAAGCTGGGTTATCTGAAGAAAAATGTGGCATCAGGATTGGAGGAAGACTCATTAACAACCTGCGAAATGCAGATGATACAACCTTGCTTGCTGAAAGTGAAGACGACTTAAAATACTTACTGATGAAGATCAAAGACCACAACCTTTGTTGTTGGTTGTATCTAAATGCAAAGAAAATCAAAATCCTCACCACTGGACCAATAAACAACTTTCTTATCAACAGAGAAAAGATTGAGTTGTCAAGGACTTCATTCTTCTTGGATCAACTATCAACACGCACGGAAGCAGCAGTCAGGAGATCAGACGACGTATTGCACTGGGCAAATCTGCTGCACAGGAACTTTTTAAAGTGTTGAAGAGCAAAGATGTCAGCTTGAGGACTAAGGTGCACCTGACCCAAGCCATGGTGTTTTCAATAACCTCATATCCATGCGAAAGCTACACATTGAATAAGGAAGACAGTAGAATTGATGCCTTTGAGTTATGGTGTTGGAGGAGAGTATTGAAAGTACCATGGGCTGCCAAAAGAACCAACAGATCTGTGTTAGAAGAAGTGCAGCCAGAGTGCTCCTTGGAGGCCAGGATGGCCAAACTTCATCTCTCATACTTTGGACATATTGTCAGGAGGGACCAGTCGCTGGAGAAGGATATCATGTTTGGTAAGGTGGAGGGTCAGAGAAAAAGAGGAAGACCCCCAGCAAGATGGATTGGCAAAATGGCAGCATCAGTGGGCTCAAGCGTGGCAACAATAGTGAGGTTGGTCCAGGACTGGGCAGTGTTTCGTTCTTTTGTGCATAGGGTCACTATGAGTCAGTACCGACTTGATGGCACCTAACAAAACCAACAACAAGGCTAACGCCTTGGTGTGATGCTGGTGTGCCAGGGAGTCGGTTCCAACTCATAGCGACCCTGTGTCCAAGGCTGTAAATCTTTATAGGAGCAGACAGCCTCATCTTTCTCCTGTGGAATAGCTGGTAGTTTTGAACTGCTGACCTTCAGGCTAGCAGTGTGACTCATAACCACTACGCTACCAGAGCTCCTTAACAACACACTAAAATCACCTATTTGCTATTCACGACTCTCTAACAGTTAAGTCTGTAATGTTTTTGTGCGTCCCAAATAAGTCAGTAACATTTTTTTTTCATTTCCATACTGTTCAAGCGAGTCTTCCAGTCATTTTCTCTTGGTTTGCACATATACAGTCGGCTGGTGATGGTGTTATTAAGTTCTTTGGCGTACATTTCAAAACTTTACCACATTTCTTTAGAATGGAGATTTGGCTACATGTTACCCTATGATCTAATGAGCAGAGCCTCTGTGTTGGTAAACTCCTGTAGATATTTCATAAGAACCCATGCCGTCAAAGGATGTCAGTGAGTGCAAGCAGACAGGAGAAACTGCAACATCTCAGGAAAATTTGCCTTTTTAAGGCTCGCCAAGATCCATGTGGTTACCCATGTGCAGGACACAGGATGGGGTTGCTGGATGACACACTTTCCTCATTTATCTTTCCAGAACACTCCTCTGACACCCGGCCATGTGACAGATGAGTGACCCATTGACGTTTAAACAGCATGCACACTGTGAAAGAGAGACAGAGAGGCAGACAAAGTGGGGGATAGAAAGAGATTGAGAAGGACAGAGAGAGAGAGAGGTTGGGAGAGGAGATAGAAATAGAGGAAGAGAGAGAGAAAGAGCTGGAGTCAGGAGAGAGAGCAGGAAAGAGACAGGGAGGAAGAGAGTGACTGGGTTCCCCCTGGTGCTGACGTTGGCAACCCCACCCTAAGAGCAGGTTTGCTCACTGCCTCAGGCTGACCCTCTCCCTTTTTCATTGAGCCTTCTTTTCCTACAATCCTGAGAGGGTCTGTCTTCTCAAACCTGACCCTGAGCTGCCCACGGTTGACGAGGCATAAATACAATCGTTGGCCCTGGCTATTGCATTTTGCCCATCAGATTCACATTCTTTTGTAAAATCAAAAACTCATCCATAGTTACTGACTCTACCATTTGAACCAAGATGGCGCAGATGCCCCAGCAAACACTCTGAAGGCTGTGTCCCATGCTAGAGAGAGAGTTCCGGGTCATTCGGCAGGGTGATGGCAGCTTCCATGCGTCATTCTGACCAAGCCCTCCACCATGTGTGATTTTTGCACTTTTAAGCAAATGTTTAACAGAAGCTATTTATTCAACACTGCTCTTGTGGGTCTGGAATCCATCCTTAAGTGTCTGGAACCGCAAAAAAGCAGGCATTTTCTTCTCATCATGGGAATTCCTTAAGCTCACAAGGAAGAGATGACGACAGCTGGCATTGGGTCTAAACGTAGGGGGTTATCCACTCCAACAAGCCAGCTTACTGTGCATAAGAAACAGAGCAATTGATGCAGTTAGCAACTTCCTACCAGTTTGTTCATCTAATATGCACTAACTCATTGGGATGTTTTTTTGGCAGTTTTTCCTGAGTGATTCAGAAGAGGCAATTCCTCCAACAACCAACACATCGAACACAAGTTTTCCCACCTCACGCGACCAGGCGGCCATTCTTCGTGCGCAAAATTTGTTTTTTCTCCCGGTAAGGATGTTTCACTTGGAGTTACTATGTTATTTTGAGTTCTTGTCTCCTTCTGGAGGATGTAGGCCCTCCACCTCCTGATGTGTCCTGGTTGCTGCTTTTCTTCATAATTGCCCGTGTTTGAATGGCCTTGGACCAGCTGAAAAGTATCAGCGTCTGCGCTGAAAGGGAGGGGCAGGGTAGGAGAAAAATGTGGACCCAAACTCAAAATCATAAAAACAGACCAGGTTTACTGGTCATATAGAGACTCGTGGAATCCGGAGAATCACCCTTCAAACCTGGAACTGAACTCACCCCATGGCTCAGATTTCAGCCAAACAATTGTTAAGTGCCATCAAGTTGGTTCCAACTTGTATTGATCCTATGTAGGATTTCTGAGGAACAGCTGGTGGGTTTGAACTGCCAACCTTGTGGTTAGAGATCCAGTGATGACCCTACAGCGCCACACCAGGAGGCCAGGCCAGGCAATAGACAGGTCTGTAAAGGGAGCGATACGTACTCCCTAGTAAACACAGCCACATGAGATCAAAAGGGCAGAATGTACCCAGAAAGAAAGCTCAGAAGGCAGGAGAGATAGGCAACAAGGACAAACGAACACACTCACCACAAGGAGGAGGCAGGTACATAGTGGGGTTACAGCAAGTGTCATGAATCGAAAGGTACATGGATTGCTGAATGGAAAAGCATTTTGCTTTGGAAACTTTCACCCAAATCACAATAAAAAAATAAGACTTTCTAGAGCTAAAGATATAGCCAGCAAAAGAAAGAAAGAAACTGTAACCTCCTCCTGGCTAGTCAGGCAGTTGGTCAGGCCTGTGTTTGCAGACTTGGAAGGTCCTTTTGGGAAGCCCTTTCAAGTCCACGTAGCTGCTACCAAATCCCTTTGAAAGGCTGGCTATTTGAATCCACTCATAAGCACCTTGGGGAAAAAGGTCTGGTGATCAATCTTCTTCTGAAAACTCATCCACTGAGAACCCTGTGGAGCACGGTTCTCCTCTGACACTCACGGGGGCACCATGAGTGGGATCTACTTATGAAAAATCATCCACTGAGAACCCTGTGGGCACAGTTCTACTCTGACACACATGGGGGTGCCATGAGTGGAATCTACTATGAAAAATCATCCACTGAGAACCCTGTGGGGCACAGTTCTACTCTGACGCACACGGGGCACCATGAGTGGAATCTACTTATAGAAACGCAGCCACTGAAAACCTTGTTGAGCACAGTTCTCTTCTGACCTATATGGGGGCACCGTGAGCTGAGTGGGTTTAACAAAAACTGCCTTAAGGGCATTTCGGCATGGTCACCAACTTCTCTTATCTTTGTCCTCATAAGGGCTACCTCATTTCCAACGCACACACCACCCTCAAGGAGCCCTGACGGTACAAACAGGTTCGAACCCACTCAGTGGCTCTGAAGGAGAAACAGCATAGAAAACCCAATGGGGCAGTTCTACTCTGCCACACCAGGACTTCAGCACCCAAGTGGTACTGTAAATGTAACATCTCGACCCAGCACCCACGTGGTACTGTAACTGTAACATCTCGACCCAGCACCCACGTGGTACTGTAACTGTAATATCTCGACCCAGCACCCACGTGGTACTGTAAATGTAACATCTCGACCCAGCACCCACGTGGTACTGTAAATGTAACATCTCGACCCAGCACCCACGTGGTACTGTAACTGTAACATCTCGACCCAGCACCCACGTGGTACTGTAA